AAATTATTGGAGAATTTTTCGGCTTCGTACCGATCCTCATCGTATCGGTGCACAACGCGGAACGGACTGTTATAATATACAGCCGTTGACGGCGACGCGCCTCGTGTCGTCGTCCCCACTCATAATGATTTGCGATTACGCATCATGTATGAGTGTTACGATGCCCCAACAGGTGGCCATCGTGGGAGAGAAAAGACCTATCTCACGGTAAGTCGTGACTTTTACTGGTACCGCCAGTATCAGTTTGTACGCAAGTACATACGTGCATGCGAGGTTTGTCAACGGGTGCAGCCTAGTCCTTCATCCCAAGCACCATTACAGCCTCTACCGGTCCCGGCAGAGTGCTAGCAGTCCGTTTAAATGGACTTCGTCTTCGTTTTTCCCGAAGACGCTCACAAGAATAATGGTATTCTTGTGTTGTTGACCGGTTCAGCAAGATGGTGCATCTTGCTGCTGTCCCTGAGTCGATCAAGGATCAAGGTTGTGCTCGTGTCTTTCTTGACACGGTCTTTAGACTCCACGGGTCACCCCGTGAACTCGTATCCGACCGTGACCCTCGATTCACGGTGGAATTTTGGCAATCCGTGTTCCGTTCTCTCGGAACACGGTTGACGATGTCCACTTCTGACCATCCCGAAACAGATGGTCAGACGGAACGTGCGAACCGTGTCCTCGAAGAGATCCTTCGAGGATATGTCCACTCGTTTCCGAATTGGAGCGAATTCCTACCCATGGTGGAATTCGCCATCAATAATTCGGTGCATGCTTCCACACAGCACACACCGTTTTACGTGAATGGCCTATGCCATCCACGTGTGCCCACCCTTCTAGAGTGTGACTCTTGGATAAGGTAGGGCTCGCTGAATCAAAAACCGTTTTGGCTCTTGCTCATCACGTGTCGACGCTAACGTCGTCACGTATGATGCCGATGTCGATAATGTCGACATCGGTGAAGAATATCACCTCAATAATAGCATGACTCTATTATTGACTCGGATGATGATGACGATGCTGGTATATTCAGCATCGTCAACGATTATGCCAGCGAGGAAGAAGAAAACCTCGCTGAAAAAGAGAGCAATGTCTTAGCAGTGCGCACGAAGCGCACTGAAAGACAAAACAAAGAGTCATCAGAGAACTTCCTGCTGACTCGAGAAGCGGTAGTCCGTTTCGTTCAGGACGCCATCGCAAATGCGGTGGACCGTCAGAATCGGAACGCAGACAAGAATAGAAAAGCAAATGTTCTTTCAATTAAAGTTAACGACCTAGTACTACTGTCTACCGTAAACTTACCTGGACATTCAGTCACTAGTGTCGGCAGTAGTAAACTACTGCCGAAGTACATTGGGCCATTTTGAGTGCTGCATCGCAAGGGCAATGCATACACACTCGAATTGTCACGTAAGATGCGCACGCATCCTACGTTTTACGTGGGGAGGCTCAGGCCGTACTGTCAGTACGAGCCTTCTTCTTCCGATGAAGATAGCCCCCACGTTCAAGAACATCCATCAAGTTCTTGCGTTCGCGCTCCAGACGATCCGTCTGGTCGCGCAGATATGATACCTCGGAACTCAACCGAGATATCTCCCCGCGAGCTGTCGCCAGCTCGCCGAATAGGGAGCGGACATCCTGCTCGACCTGAAGCTGCACTGTGGCATAATTCGCGCGATCCCTCGCTTGATCAGCCTCGTAATCCTTGCGGTTCTTCCGCACGGTATCAGTCAAAGCGTAGCGCCGGTCGCGCTCGTGCTTCAAGTCGTCGCGCAATTCATCAATTGCGCGATCCATCTCGTAAGGGTCGAGATGGTGAGCAGAATCATCTAGAGGAGGTCTTTCCTCCTCCACCACATCCTTTGGTGGATTGTCACGGTGATCAACGCTATCTAGTGGACCGTATCTTGAATCACCGTGACGATCTATGATCAAGAACGATCTACCTCGTCCAGTGGCGGTTGTATCCACCCTCTTGGAACAGCTGGGAGCCCCGCTCTCAGCTGTTGATGGATGTTGAAGGTCTCGTCCGCCAGTATGACGAGACTCATCCGATGAGTCCTCGGGTCCATCGGTAAACACGCGCTTTTGGCGCTTGTAGACGGATTGCAAGTTTGCGATCGCGTCCCGCATCTCCTCCGAGATGTGTGCCCTTCCCCAGGGCAAACTTAGGGAATACACGTCCCTATGTGCACGCTGCGAGTTGTCAACACAACTCGCACAAGGGTCTTCCCATGTGAGGCAAGGAATGTCTGCCTCGCTCGACAAACAGTGCAGCCGGTACCTAGCACCGGTTGGCGTTCGCTTTTCGAACATGAGGCGTGCCGTCTCAAGTTTCTTGAGCCACCCTTCTCCTCCAAATTCTTTACGTTTTGGACGAACGCGTTCCACGCAGCCAAAGGCGAGGCTTTGTCACGCTTTTAGTTGCCGTTGTACCATCAATGTCTAAGGAAGACATCGAGATAAAACTCTTCTTCAGCGCGAAAGTTGCTCGCGCTGGGAATCAAGCCGTGAAGCTCAGTCGCATCGAATAAGGGTATTCGATGATGTTGGCTTGTCTCGTGAGACAAGCTATTGAAGATCCGTTCGGGCAAACGCCACGGCTTCAGCTCATCGCGCTTCACGGTGGTACCTTTGTTGGTACCACGGTTGTCAGTATGACGATGGGTTGCACCATCGTCAGATCGCTCGTGCGAAGGAGCACGAGCTGATTGCGGTGATGAGAAAACATACTCATCATCAGATTCGTCATCACTGCCGAACAGACTGTGTTGCAACTCAAGAGTTCGTTCGTTCGGCAGTGACCTTGGCGAACACTGAGGCGTCGCCGGTGAGCGAGACGCCTCTGCAGCATTGCCCGAGTCAGACGTGTCTGACTCGCCAGAGTAGATGACCTCAATATCGGGGTCATCATGCGCACGCGGTGCTGTACCGCGTGCACCTGCAGCACCTCTTGCTGCAGGCGAAGAACGAGCAGCAGAAGACGAATTGTCTGCCGCAGAAGCTGGCACAGGCACAGACTCTGTGTGCCTTGAGTCACCCCGCATAGACATGTTAACTATGCGAGGTCAGGTTGAGTTATAAACGGAACTGACCCAACAAGTGCTCCCTGTCCCAATGGCGCCCAACGGGTGGCCGCCAAAATTTTCGATAGTCACACGGTGACTATCAGTTAAGGGGGGTGATGTAACGGGGCAGCCCGTTACATGGGAATGTCACTTTAAAAGAAAGTGACAACAAAGAATATTCTGTTAAATACTCTTTGAACAATATCACCGATAATGGTGATATTGGTGAAGCGACCAAAGGGTCTGCTCATTGGTTGATATCGTGATGATATCAACCCACCAATCGCCGCAGGACGCGCGCAATGAGTGGTGACGAGACGTCACCATACACTCAGTTATATTGACATAATCAAGTCAGGTTTAACAGAGAGACAGTAGCAAAAAGACTTAATTATATTAAGACAACAGTTTTACTTTCTCCTTATCCTACGCTTCCTCGTTCGCCTCGTGTACGTCTGTCGGGGCACCCGAAACCCTTGCGTTAAGTTCACGCAAGGGTGTGCCCCGTTACAGACTGTCTACCTAGCATACACCACGTTAAAAATGATGCGATACTTGCGCATTTTCTAAGCTCGGGCGGAACAGAGCTCGCTTTTCATTAGACTCTCAATCATCGAGACGTTATGCCAAACAGGCTTAAATCAAACCATAAAGTAGCAGCGCACCACTGTTGACTTCTGAACTATCGCTTCTTCGGCCCCCTATCAATCTTATTTGCTTTGTTGTTTGGAAATGGCAAGAGGAAATAGAGTTTCGCCGCGATGCCGTCGCTGTGGCGTATTTGCACGTACGTGTTGCACGCGCTTAAAGTCGCATGGCGTTTTTTCGTGCTCCATATCCACTTCACGAACCTTTTGCAGCTGCTAGAATGCTTGTGTGGTTGAGACAGGTGGGGCTTAGAGAATGATGCGCATTGTATCTTGTATTCCAAAAGTGACAGGGCGAAGAGTTTTGACTCGCTGTGAAAGCTAAGATAAAACCAGAGCTACTACAATTTATGCAGAACTCGTAGAAATGTATTTTGGAAATAACACATTTCACCAATGCAGTATACTATAATGTGGTTGACACTATTTAGCGTGTTTTTTATACTTGAGTTGAGTAAGTGTTGATTTGGGACTTTTGTGCATTTGTAGAACTGGTTTTGAGATTTACTCTATCCTAACACCAAAAGCAGCTATTTATTCTGCAAGAAAACTCGAGCTGGCTTGATTCATCCACATGATCGAGCGAAGATCCAACGACAGAACGACCCGAACTCCAATGACTTCTTGGCACGAGAGACGACAGGAGTAACATCTCTGCATGAAAGAGATGCGTACGGCGTTGAAGAGCATCGAAAGGCTTTGAACATGCACATATCATATGCCTTTCCACGCTGGCTCTGCTTTGCCGAACGTGTCCTAGTGGCGAGCGAGTTTGCACATAACCAGACGCAACGACCGATCGTTACGTGTCGACTCAAGACGACGACCACTTTGATGCCCACGTGACTCTGTTGCACTTGACATGTCGTGCACTCGCGGAAGGTTCGGCACGACGTCGATCCACCTCGATCAATCACGGCCGAGACGAGCACACTAACGTAAAATCGACAAACTTACTTTACTTTCATCCGTACTATATCTGTATGGCCAAAACTTTGTCCGAGTCCGTGAATCGGCAGACTCACTTCTATTAGATGGCGGCAGCTCTGATCGCGCGAAAAGATTCAGACGCGCCGTTCCAGCCGTCGTCGGGTCACAGACAGCCGAGTCCCATCGAGTCAAGTCATCGCTTCGCTTTGTCACGCCATCATCACGGACCGATCGTCGGCAAAAACGGACCCGACCGCGTCGAGCCCTTGCGGTCGCGCGAGTTCGCGCGGTCCCGGACGCCACTGGGCCCACAACGCACATAGACCATCACATAATCAAACACACCCGTTGGCTCCCCCTTGGCCTATGCGGCAGTGACGCCAGTGGGTTTCGGCGTGGCCGCCGTTGCAGCCGAGACAGACGACGTCTTCATGTGGCCACGCACTTTGTCGCTCTTGTTATCCGCAAAAAACTGTGCAGCATAGTCTGTTGAAGCAGAAGACGGTGCAGTCGAACCCATGCCATCGTGCACTGACGTTGACGTCGGAAACCCCGTGCTCTGAAAGCTGTGCGACGCCAGTCCACGCGGCGACAAAAAGTCCATCTTCATGCGCTGCTGACCACTGTTGTGCACGGCAGCCGCTGCAGCGATCGCCGCCATGTGATTCCTCGAGCTGTTCGATCCGTGATGCTGGCTGTGGTCAAACACATTTGCGCCAATGTTTTCGAGCAGCGGAGACGCGCCAAAGTGACCACCGGTCGAGTGGAACGTCATGGGCGTATCGGGGCCGCCCATGAGCTTCATGTAGTCGCTCATCATCGCGTCTTCATTGGCGCCAGGCGTCCGGTCGGACAACCGCGGGGTCGGAAACAGTCCCAGCGACAGAAAGTTGCTCCCAATGCCGCGCGAGACACTGGGCGGCCCGCTGCTGGTCAAAAAACTGTCAATGCCAGGCGTGCGCTGGCCACTGCTGGCGGTCGCGGTCGCACCAGCGCCGCCCGCGTTCGTCATGGCCAACACACTCGGCAGCTGCGAGTTGTCAATCTGCGGCGACGGGAGCCCCATGAGCAGCGAGAACTCGTGACTCCGCGGCGTGGGAAAGCTGTTGCCCAGCGGCGTGCGCAAACTGAACTTAGGCATCGTGGACGGCACGTTGATCTTCAGCGGCAGCCCGAACGGGTTGGACGCACTCGACGACTGCTGGTGCGAGTGCGCGTGTTGCAGTGGATGCTGCGTGGACTGGCCCTGGGGCACTTGGATCGACAGCGAGTGCGGCGCCGACGATTGCGACACGTGTGGCTGTTGCTGCTGCTGCTGCTGGTGGTGTTGTTGTTGTTGCTGGTGGTGTTGTTGGTGGTGGTGATGGTGCTGCTGCTGTTGGTTCTGGTGGTGGTGGTGGTGGGCGTGCTGCGGCTGGTGCGGGTGCTGCATAAAGTGCGACGGCGGGTGGATCTGCTGGTGCTGGATCTGCAGGTGGTGGAACTGCTCCTGCTTGAGCTGCTGCTCGCGCTGCTGCTGCTGGCGCTTCTTGCTGCTCAGGCGCCCGCCCTTGGAGATGTTGAGCTCGGGCACTTCCTCGCCGTGCGCGCGGAGCTCCATGGCGTGGCGGAAGCATATGGAGCCCGAGTGCTGCGCCGTCTTGTTGCAGCCGTCCACGCGGCACTCGTGGCCGTGCGAGTGCCGGTTGCACAGCCCGCCGGCCCGCGCGTGCTGCATGCAGCCGTCGATCTTGCAGCGCCGGCCGCCGCCGTGGCGCACGCACTTTTGCCGCGCGTGCGCCTGCTTGGAGCAGCCCTCGACCACGCAGAAGCGCTTGACGACAAAGCCGCCGTGCTGGAGGCAGAAGCCGCCGCCGCGCGCGTGCGCCTCGCAGCTCTCGGCCTGGCACTGCTTCTTGCCGCCGTGGCGCACGCAGAGCTTGCGCGCGTACACCTGGTTGGTGCAGTTGGCGACGCAGCACTGGCGGCGGTTCTTGTGGAACGCGCACTTGCTCGTGCCGTCCACCGCGTGGTTGTCGCAGTCGTTGAAGCGGCACTTTTTGGGTTTGCCGTCGGCGGTCGTCGTGGTGGTCAAAGGGCGTCGGTGGGGCGCGGAGTGGCTGTGACTGCTGCTGCTGGGGCTGCCGGGCGACGAGGGGCCGTCGTCGTTGCTGCTGCTGCTGCTGCAACTGCCACTGGGCGACGCGCTGGGGCTGCGCGAGTCGGTGGGCATGGCCAGCGAACGGGTACAAGACGGCTCTTGTGTGTGTGGGGGGGGGGGTGTAGAGGGCGGCGGCGCGAGCGATCAGTCGGTCGGTCGGTCGGTCAATTGGTCGGTCAGACGAGAGCGAGGGGGGGCGGAGAGAGAGAGAGACAGAGGGGAGGGGGATCAGGAAGGAGAGTGTGGCCGGCAACGTGGTCGGTCAGCTGACGGTGGGGCGCGGGCGAAGAGGCGGGCGACTACAATGCCACGACGGCCGAGAGGAGTGTGTGTCGAGTTGGTTGCAACTTGCGGAATGACAACCGTGCGGCCGGCAGCGGCTGTCGTGCCCTCGAGCTGGAAGACAGGCGGGCGCACAGACGAAGCAGGGCCGCCGGTTTCTACGCGCCTGGCCGTTTTCTGAATCAGCAGGTACCTCTGCTACCTGTCGCCCGCGTCTCCAGAAATGATCCACGTGCCAGAACGTGGACACTTAGGGCGTTTCACGCGCGCGCTGAGGTTTTTTACCGGTTTCGTGGTGCGCTCGCAAACAGTCCGAGACGGACACGGGAGAACTGGTCGCGTCGAGCACGCGGGTCTCGTTGCTGCGTCTGCTGATGCAGCGACTTGTGCGCCGGTTCTTGAGACGGAAGCACAGGCGATGTATCATGGAGGAACATCGTCAAGGATCAGCGGCAACGGCTTCCGTATGACGCTGCCACAACGGGAAGGAAGCGTTTCTCAGACAGCTCTCGGCTTCTGCCACCTCTTATCCTTTTGCTATTAGCAGCGCTGCACGAGTTGAACTTCTGACTATGGACATCTTGTCCCGACATTGGCATCACATGCGCCGTTTGGATGAAATCACTCGGTCAAAGGTCGATGTCGAGCCTCGCCACTACTACTCTTGGAGCAAACGTATGCCTCGACGTTTTGTGATGGTCGCTCCTTATGTATCGCAAACAGGCGAGCGACATCGAGGCCGAGCGCGTTCGATGGTCCAATATGGGCTCCTTCTGTCGTTGCGGTAGGTCATCGGGCTACGATCGAACAATCCAGTGCGTCAGTCGCCCAATCGTAGAGGAGCGCGCACGTGCGTGTGGAGCGCAGGGGCAGATGAGTCGCGCTCGGCTGGTGGCCGCCTTATCGACGTGGACGATGCACAAGGAGACGGCAGCGCGTGCGCGCCCTGAAAAAGTCTCGTGGCTCGGCGGCGAGCGAAAACCAGACGCTTGAAGCGCGCGGAGAGCGTATTCAGATCGTGTCGATTCGAGTCAGCGGCTGACTGTGTTGTACAAAGGGGGAAAACGTCAGCTGTTTGGGCGTGACCGTTTCTAGGGAGTCGTGTTCTGGCAGCCTTTAACTACTACTACTACTACTACTACTACTGCTGCTACTACTACTACTACTAGGAGCTTGGAGGGGCTGGAGAGGCACACGAGAAGCTGGTCCATATTGCGATACGTGGGCTCCTTTGGACACCGATGATCAGAGCCCGAGTCCTTTTATTCGCAACTACGACAGGAACGTATGGACGAGGTCGTGCTGCCCGATCTAGGGACACGTGGATCCGACTCGTCTCCGTTGCAGCAACAAGCCATTCCGGGGCTTTTGCCCACGAAGTGGGGCGTGCGAGACGCAAGACATGTGAGCGGCTCCGTTGTCTTGTGTTGACTGAGGAGCTTTCGTACGATCGACGTGTCGCAACCACCTCGCTCGACTGACCACGCACTGCTACGGAACGATCGAGACGCTCACCGGTCCTTTGGTGCCGATCACTTCGCATCAACGTCGGTGTCGCTTCACAGTCGAGAGCAGTTGTTTGCCGACGGGGCGTTTCGAATGGAGTGACTCTGTGGTAAATCCTCTGTGTTCGCGCGAGATATGTATTGCTACTTGTGAGTGACAAGTGAAGAGTCACCGCCGTCAGACTGGCCGTCGCTGAAAATCCAGTGTCGAATCGGTCGCTCGATTGTGGCGCACGTAAAGAAACACGACGCGACGGCGTTGTTTCGTCCTCCTCCTTCCACAGGAACGCCATCGTTGGGGATAGTGCGATCTTTGCTGTCGTCGCCTAGTGAACCGCGGCCCGACAACGTCTTAACGCCGTTACGACGTTTCATGTCACGTGGGGTGTACAATAGTCGTGGCAATACACGTTCGACTGCGTCTTCCGCGCGAGCGCACGACATCTGATCTGAAGTTACTTTTTCAATCGCACGAGCACCTCATCAAGATACTCCTTGACAAAAAGCCGTAGCGATGTAACAGCGCGTACGTGCCCACTCGTAACGTGTTGGTAACACAGTAACGTACGCGAGTACTACCTGCCCGTCCGTATCATACGAACTGGACAAGATGCACAATTGTGAAGGCTGCCTCGCTCACGTAATTAATTGCACCCACTTCATCGCCTCTCGGCCGCGTTCAGCCCGTCATTTGACTGCTCATATTCCGGAACGGGGCATCCATGTCAAAAGTCAGTCCCTGTCCATCCATGTCGACTGGGACGAGAATTTCTCCTTGCGAGAGGGACTGAAAGGAAGAACTGTTAGATGGATCATTTGCTACGTAGCAATGGCCAGTAGATGCGTCCTCTTCGTGTTCCTGGCAGCGCTCGTTGGTCCTGCGTTTGGGCAACGGAACGCCACGCAGTCGGGCTGTGAAGTGTGTGCAAGTAGTGGAGACTGTGCTCAGGCCTATCGAGGCACGCCGGGCCAGTTCTGCGGCCACTGGCTCGACCGCCGAAATGCACGCCGTCCGTGCTGCTGCCCAGACAACGGCGTCTGCAGCGTCTCTACTTACGCCTGTAGTTGCAACGATGCTCGAAACGCATATCCCTACCGCATACGGGACGGAGGGGGCGGTCTTTTATGGCTGTGGACTCTGCTCGGGTCACTAGCGCTGTTCCTGTGTTGCTGCGGCAGCTGTTTCATGGTGGCCAAGCGCATGAAAGACCGGCGGGACCAGAAGAATGCAATTCCACTTGCAGCTCCTGTGGCGGGTCCCGCCAGTGGAGACACATCGAGCCACCCGTACGATACGACGTCGGCCGCGTATGCTGCCGCTCCATACGAACCTGTGCATACTGCTACGTCGCGAATGCATGACGGCTCTTACGGCCACAGTAGAGGTGGCGGCGGCATGGGCGCTGGGGCGGGTGCAGCACTGGGTGGAACAGCTGGTCTAATAGGAGGACTTATGCTTGGAGGAGCGCTGGCTGATCATGGCGACTCGTATGGGTACGAAAGTGGCTTTGACGGTGGCGGCGCTATTGACTGTAGCGGTGGAGATTTTGGTGGAGATTTTGGTGGAGATTTCTGAATGCTATCCGAGGCTAACGGCACCCCGAAAGATGAATAGCTCACTTATGATAACACGCACCCCTTTGCACGTTTTTCAGTCTTTCTCTCGCTTCTTTGTGACGAAAACGCAACAAGAGCATGTCCACGTTGTTCGCGGAATCGCAGCAGCTTGATCACCGTCAGGGGCGTCCACAATCTTACCACATTACGACCCTTTTGTTGCTGCGATACGACACTTTTGTGGATACCTGTGCGTATCGCAACGACACTGTCAATTGGAGGCCTCGGTAGAATGATAGGTGAGCCCACGTGGCAGTTTGAACCGCGTGGACACGTGTACGCACCTCAAGCGGCGTAAAGCTTTTTTGTCAAGCATGTCTAGGTAATCCTAGGGGCAAGTAGACCAAACCTTGTGAGAGGATCAACGCATCGATTCACGCGGTATGCGCTCATGGGTGTAATGTACTACCATTGCCGTCGAGTGGATGCCGGGAGCTTGTAAAGCTCGCGCTTCGTCTACCACCGGCACGCAATGTAACGACGACATGCACCAAACGTATCCTACCTGTCCCCTTCCTACATCCTGTTCAAGATCTTGCATCGAGTTTTTGCGTTGTGGTTTTCACCTTTCGTCGCTGCTGTAGACCTCTCGCAGTACCGATTTGACCGGTCGCTGGGTCGGTGATGGTTAGTCGTTGGACGAAGTAGCCGTTGACACATTCGTTACAGCATGTTTCCCATCGTTCGCTTGCCAACATCGCTTGACTACCACCGATCGTATATAGAGCTGTCGGCTTCTTTGACGCGTGGTCACGTGCACCACACATGCTTGCACAACTCCTACTCATCAAGACACGCTCGACGTTGCAGCAACTATTGCTGTTGTACGTCAGCTCGTTCCAATGGCGTGACCATGCAGGTACTAAATGCACATGAGGGGTCTATTATGCATCTCACAGACGCTCGGCATCATGCTCTTTGTCGTGGCGTGTATGGCTCACCCGTGGCCCCTGATCGTATTGTGTCACGTGCTAATGTCCAGCTCATCCCACCGCCATACGCAGCAATTCAATGTGCTTGCGTCTAGAAGCATGTAAACCACGCGTGTTTTCACGTAGGTCACTCGCTCCCTCTAATCTTGCCGACTGACAATGCTTTGAACGACCCACTTAACGACACCAAGGCACGATCGTCAATGTATAGTCGACATCAACAGGTCAAGTTGACGATGCGTCGATAAGTTGTGGCGTACCGCTCTTACCGATCTACATACGCAGTTGCGTCGAGGCACATGTGTACAATCATTGCACAAGTAAACGTCGAGCAAGTTATCTGATTGTCCGGCACGGTCTTCTTGCCATTGCAATAAGTCCTCGCGGACCCTTTAGAACTCACAAATACATACGCTTTGACCTCACCCCGCCCATCGTAATTTCGTCGCGTCCAAACGAAGCTATAGAACCCCGATCTATCCGATACGCTTTCAGTTTTGCTGTCACATTGTGTGGTGTGGCATCAAGTGAAGCCACGCGATCTCGTCTCCATTACAGTAAATCTATGTTTTACCGCAAGCATTTCGAAGCTATCCCGTCAAGAGTTTTAAGCACTCAATAGTTAATTGCGCTCCTTGCTAAGGCTCATTCGATATTGATCACCTTCCATCGACCCCACATACCATTTCGCAATGTGCACGTGGTGGTGACTGCACGTGGGGACCGCACGACAAAAACGGTGTTACGTTCACTTATCGTTGATTTATTACAATATGTCGGTCCAGAAGAGTTCGTCGGAGCGACTAATGCGATTCATACAGTACTCGAGCACTTAGACATCTCAACTTGGGAACCACTGCAGTGCGAATCCCAGCCAGGCTATAGCTCAAAAAAGTTGGCAACAGCGTCTCATGGCTTCGGATAGTCTTAGTTTTATATCGCAAGGTTTCTATCGGTTGGTCAAACGCCACGGGATGAGCTCGCTTCATGTAATTGACACCACTTTAGGTCAATCAGAATATTATCATCGCGAAATTATACACTGAAATTTACCATTTGTCGTAACTATTGTAAAAAGTTTACAGTAAGGTGATTTCAGCACCGCTACATTTATTATATGATATAGCCATTATTTTATCCAAATAAACCACAAATCGCTGCGAGTCGCGCGCAATGGGTGGCGGGCGAGCACCTACATATGCCGTTTGTTTGTTGTCGGACACAATTTAATGAAATTATAGAAGACATTATTAGAAAACTTATCGAAGTTGTATACAGTTTAATTTTAGCAAATCTAGAACCCAGCAGTAATTTTGTGCAAAAGTCCACAAGCCAGCGTCGGTTCTGAGACGAGACCATGCAGAACATAAACAATGGGGATCACACAAAGTAAACCTGTCAGATTAAATGAAACTGCGTGATGGGATACGAGACTTTCCATTTTTCAGAAGCCGTTGGTTTGATCTCATTGGGCACACTTTATGTGCCAAACGGACGGCTCATCGTTCGTTTGGCGACCCACAAGCACCGACGAAGGCGCGGCCGACGGAGGCCTCTGCGCGGCCCGTTGTTGGCTTTCTCATCATCGCGGGAAGCAATCCCTGTAGTAATAAGGATCAAGTGTGGATGGTAATTTATCAGCACGTGATAAGAGAAAAGTTTGCTGACTGAATGTTAATTTCTGTGCATGTGACCGAGAAGGGGACGCAGCGCGCGATCAGGAAATTGCAGACAACACACAATACGGTGCGTAGGTACGTAGGTCAGCTTACTCTGCGATTCAATTATTTTAACCCTATTGATGTGCTGTATCTCGCTGTGTGTGGAATGCCTGCAACAAGTAATAGGAAGGAAGTTATTAAGATCGTAAATACATCATTTTGATTCAATGCAAGTCGACCATGAAGAGTCAGTTCCATTCCTAATACGTATGAAGTGGTTCTGACGTCGTTGTTACTTGTTTTACTTCCAGGGATCGGATCGAAGGTCTGAGCAAGTTGCAAAGCGAGGAGATAGGCAAGAAATCGCACTATAAATGGCGCGATCAGTGAGCGCCGAGCTGCGAAATGTATTGTGAATGTGGAAGTCACGTATAGGACGCTCCATGATTGAAGCAAGCGGTCTCCGCAAGTGCAGGTAGAAGCACGTGTTATTAAAGATGCCGTTGAGTGTGCACGCTCCATGTATCAAGCACTTGTTTTATGTACATAGAAGCAATGGGTGATAACAATATAATGATTAATGGCAAGCTTATTTATAGGAATGTCATAGCAAATTGTGTTGTTGAGTTCATACACTGTAAATGTTATGCACAGCACGTTCAATTGAGTATGAATGCAATGGACCTTGCGGGTGGCATTCGTCTGAGGTTGTGTCAGACACCAGTGTATTCGTCACGAAGACTGACGCCGGATGAACAGGGTTTATCGGGTCACTTACGTCAACTAATTTTGCCTTAAAATGCTTGTTCTTTTGTTCCATCAAAGTCGCATGGCGCCGCAAAATTATTTTGTTTTGCCCCGCTTGGAAGCAATAGCGGCATTTGTAAGTAGCTCCAGACTTCGAACCCCCAAAGCTACTGATACTGCTTTTTTCATCGTCCAGTTTTTCTGTAGAACGGTAGTGTTAAATCATCACTAGAGGTGTCCTGGTACTGACACCCAATTTAATCGACCTCCCCAATAATCATTGCTTAAAATTTTTAACCAGGCACTCTGGATGAAAAGCTGCCGGTATGTCAATTTTAATACAAATAGCATGCAATACGGCGACAAGGTGGCGACAAGGTGGCTGTAACGGGGCACTGTTGACTACGTACTAGTTAAATTGCACGGAGTATACTTCCACTGAAGACAGTGGTCGACAGTGCCCTGCTAGGTGTTCTAAGGAAACACAGAGGAAGGAAAGGAGAATAGGTAGTCCGACTAGTCTCTTGGTAAAAGTAAAACTGTTATTTTATACAATTAAGTCCTATAACTCTTGTATCTCTGTTTGTCCTGACTTAATTATACTAATATACCTATATGTATGACGACGTCTACTCACCACCCATTGCGCGCGTCTAGCAGCGATTGGTGTATCGATATTATCACGATGTCAACCAATGAGTAGCCCTTCGGTCATCTTCAACAATAATATCATGCTCTGTGACATTGTTAAAAGAATATTCATCGTAATATTCTTTATTATCATTTCATCCTTAATGACAATATCATGTAACGGGCTACCCCGTTTCATCACTCCTCCCTTATCTGATAGTCACCTTGTGACTATCGAAACTTTTGTGGCCACCCGTTGGATATCAACGGTACGGGGAGTACTTGTTGATCAGATTCATTTATTCTGACTTTGCCTCGCATCGTTGACATGTCTATGCGGGGTGACCCAAAGACGACACAGACTGTTGCTGCGCCCGCCTCCGCGGCAGACGACTCGTCGTCTGCTGCTCGTTCTCAGCCTGCAGCAGGTGTTGCTGCAGGCGCATGTGGTATCGCACCTCATGCACAGAGTGACCCCGAGTTGGGGGTCAGCTACTCTGGCGAGTCAGATGTGTCTGACTCTGAAAAGCCTTTAGAGGCATCGCGTTCCCCTGCGGTGACTCGTTCATCAAGGGACCTGCCGAACGTACGGACTCGCGACATGCGTCACAGTCTGTTCGGCAGTGATAATGAATATGGTGATTATTATGATTACTAATCACCGCGATCAACTCGTGCGCCTTCGCACGAGCGACTTGACGATGGTGCGAGCCGTCTCCATGCTGATGACCGTGGTACCGGCAAAGGCACCACTTCGAAGCGTGATGAGCTGAAGCTGTGGCTTTTGCCTGAACAGCTCATCAATAGCTTGTCTCACGAGACAAGTCAACACCATCGAATACCTTTATCCGATGCGAGTGAGCTTCACGGCTTGAGTGCCAGCGCAAAGAACTTTCGCGCTGAAGAAGTATCTCGATGCTTTTTCAAGCATCGATGGTACAATGGCAACCAAAAGCGTGACAAGGCTTCGCTTTTGGCGGCGTGGAACG